TCAGCAGAACAGATTCACTAAAGCATAATGGACCATAGAATCGTCATTTTCTGCAAATTCTTCCGAACTCCACTATGCATTGTACAATCCAAAAAGTCCGTACCACAGCTCATTTTCTACAATCTTCGAACACATTAGCCTACCTCGGCATCACAAAATCCCGGGTTCTAGGTAACATGGGACCTTACACATTTGGCCAATCTACCTGAGAGTTCGGGTTTGTGAGGAATGCTTTGTAGGGGAAATGTGGTCACCACAGCTATCAGGTGAAATTGGAAGTAAGGCGCCAGCGTCTGAGTGGCAACTACGAGAGTTAAGGCCAGCTTCTCCAAATGCGGGTAACGAGTTTCTGATCCCATTAAAATTTTACTAACGTAATAAATAGGAAATTGCGTACCTTCATCTTCAAGGACTAAAATTGCACTTACCGCCACTTCCGAGACTATAAGCTAGACCAACAATGTTTCACCTTCCTTCATTTTTGAAAGCAATAGAGGGTTTGACAAGTACTTTTTCAAATCTCTTAAAGCCTTCTATCATTTCGGGGTCCATTCAAAATTGTTTTTCTTTTTGGGCATCGCGAAGAAACGATGGCATTTCTCTGATGACCGAGAAAAAAACCTGCTCAAAGCGGCCAATCTCCCTATGAGTCTTTAAACTTCTTTCTCACTTGATAGCTGGTCCAGGATGTCCTCGATGGCTTTGATCTTATCGGGATTTACCTCTATCCCTCTTTGCGATACTAGGAATCCTAACAATTTTCCGGAACTGACCCTGAACGCGCACTTTTCGGGGTTAAGCTTTATGTTATGCTTCCTTAGGATGTCAAAAGTTTCTTTCAAATGCTTAATATGATCTCCTCTTCTTTGATGAAACTATTTATGGCCTCCGCAATAGGGCATTTCTTTTGTCTTACCGGAGGAATAATGGGATCCAAGCTTAGCTTGTGTACGACCAGTGAGCTCAGGGTGCAGTCCTGTCCCCAAGTGGAATTTTCTTTCAAAGAACTTTTCGAACAATGCAACTTGTTTGAGCTCTTCCGTTGTGGATTTTATTGCATCCGTCTCTTCTGGTACCTGGAAATATCTCGGCACCTGATAAGATTTCGATGCTTCTTCCCCCGGCTAACTTCATTCGATTCGGGAGCGGGCGCCAGTTCCTATAGTTGCTATACCGCGTTCTCCTTCCCTTTACTACTGGAGACCGAAATTGCATTCATCTCCCTTGCCTCCGGTTAGTTGCCCTTTATATGTTTGATTCTTTCGAGCATTGGGAATTTCAACAAGTGATGATATGTTGATGATACAACTCTCATTTCGTGAAACCATGGTCTTCCTAAAATAATATTATATCCCATATCACCGTCCACCACTTTAAAAAAGAATCATTTCCATCACTCATTCGTCATTCGTGGGCAGCAAGATTTCTCTTTGTTTTGTCACGCTTACAAGGTTGAATCCGGCAATGAGTTTTGTGGCTGGAATGATGCTTCCGGTAAGTTTGGCTTGTTCCAGTACCCTCTATTATATGATATTGGCCGAACTTCCTGGATCCACTAGAACGTGTTTGATTTTAAAATCTAGTACATTTAAAGAAATTACCAATGCGTCATTCTGCGGTAGCAACGATCCGTCTGCATCCTCCTCTGTGAAAGTGATGTTGTCTTCAACAACTTCCCGAAGTCTCTTGCTATGGTTACTGATATCTTTGTCTTTTTTACTGCCGAGAAGGTGACCCTGTTGATCTTGTTCCCCCCGAAGATCATGTTGATCGTCTGACACACGGTACTTTCCCCTGCTTTCGAGGGTTCCGCATTACCACAGTTGTGACTGTTGTTGTTCTTGGCCCGGTCACTTAAGAATTCTTTGAGATGTCCATTCTTCAATAGTGTCGCAACTTCTTCACGTAGATGTCGTTAGTCCCTACTCCGGTGGCCATTCGTCCCGCGATACTCGCACTAAAAATTGGGATCCCTCTAGTTGGGATCGGACCTCATCAGCTTCAAAAATCATGCTTCTTTTGATGTTCTTCATAGCCAATACCAACTATACTACACTGACGTTGAAGTTATATTATGATAGCCCGGGGTAGGAAGGATCCCGTGTACCTGATGTTTCTTTGTCCTATAATGATATATTATTCTGATCACAATCAGTCTTCCATCGGTAACGAACCTGTTTGTCGATCGAAAACCTCTGTCGCGTCCTTCAACCCATTCGTAGGGTAGAAACCGGCCCCTCGAAGATTATCTATCTGTGTCGAAATCATCTTTTTGATTTTTTCTTATTCTTCTCCTGTCCCTTTGCCGATGATGAAAAGCCAATCTGATCATCTTCAATCCTTATCTTAGACTCTTACCAGTTGTAGACATCTTCCTAAGTCATCTCTTAAAACTTGAGTAAGCTTTCTTCCCAATTTTCGGGAAGCGTCTGAACTTATCGAATTCAAACCCTTAGTGAATGCTTCAGCCGCCCATTCATCCGAAATAATCGGGAGCAACATCCTCTCCTTCTAGAATCGAGTGATAGATTCCCACAGCATGAGCCTTAATAAAAGAGTCTGCGAGCATCTCAAAAGAACCTATGGAATGCTCGGGTAACATCTAATACCACGTCATGGCTCCTCTCGTGAGTGTCTCCCCAAATTTCTTCAGCAAAATAGATTCAATCTCATGGGGATCTAAATCATTCCCCTTCACCACTGTTGTATAGGTGATAATATGCTCCTAAGAGTCTAAAGTTCCATCATACTTTGGCACGTCGGGCATTTTGAACCGCTTCGGGATTAATACTAGCGTCGCGCTTGGTTTGTATAGCAACTGAGTATACTTCTTTGAGTCTGGCCCTTTCAACATCGGTGGAGCGCCCGGAATTTGGTCCATGCGGGCGTTCACTTCCCTTATAAACCGTAAGAGTTCGTTCTTGAAGAGATCGTTCTCGTTATTGCGACCAGATCCACTCCCCCCAGCCTCATCGGAGCTAACCTCACCCCCTGGGGTGTTGTTGTCGACCCTGTGCGTTGTTTAATTTGTGGGAGCGTCGGGAGGAACTAGACCTCGTCTATTCGCGTTATTGATAGCTCTGATAACACGTGCTTTAACTCCGTCATAACCTTATCTTGCCATGTGAGGTAGCCTAGAATGATTGTTTGTTGCTCTTATAGGACCCTTACCGCATCAACAACATACTCCTCTTCAGCATCATCGGGAGTCGCCTCTCGAAAATGTTGCGGATACTGCCTGTCATGGACTGGCGTGGCATCACTCCCTTCATTATGGGTGTTACTGACTGAATCCCCATGATGAGGCTGGTCTCTTTTAGTCTCAAGATTGTGTGTGTTGTTAACACCATTATCTGCCATTTTTGTGATTTTTGCTAAGACAAATAATCAGAATACGTTAGTAAAAGAGGCAATGATCAACTAAATTACACAAGTGTCTAGGCCCCACGGTGAGCCAAACTGTTTACCCGTAAAATGCTACAGTTGAATTTATATGTAGTTTCTAGACAAGTGAATTAATTCGATCTTGAAATAATAAAGGAATTAAAGAAATATATAACACTTAGCCTTGATATGAAGATGAAATAGAAGAAATAGTAATTTCGGGAGCAAAGCTTCCGAGCACAACATAATGAAACCAAAAAGTAAGAAGATAAAATTGTATAGAGCTTTAAATAGATTATAGCATAAGTTTGCCTGAAAATTCGTCCCCTTGTAATGATAATAGAGCTCGCTATTTATAGCTACACCTAGAGAATAAGGTCCTAGGATCATGCCTTCTTTAATGTTAATTATGAGGGTCATTCAAGAAGGTGTAAAGGTGAGCATAAATGCCAAATTTTCTTTAACGGGCAATACATTAAATGCTGTAGAATATTTTCCATTAAATGCTATCGGGCGGAGGGTATTTATTGTATCTTTATGAGTGTCATTCCGTCCGATAACAAACTGAACAATTGCCTTCGATTTTAAATACCCGGCCTGAGGCTTCACGTGTCACTCTCTTAAGCAGCCACTTAGCATCGCATATTTTACCCGATACAAATCTAAACTGTTATCCTGAAAACAAAAATAAGTGATGAATTATCACCAGTAAAATTATATTGGTGATATAAAAATCTTTTATAATGGCAATATATGTATGTAGAAGATAAATCATGTTATTTATGTGTAGGATTCAAAAAGGAGAGAAGATCGTGTGTAGGAGGTAACGAGAGTTTGATTACACCGCAAAATTAAATGACAAAAGGGTAGATTTCAGTGGGACCCAATGAGTGCTTTGAAAGGCAAATTGTAGCCGTAGATCTCTCCTGCACAAGCCAAACAAACGGCCAATATACGAGAGTCAAAGACTCATCACTAAGGTCTCTTTGACCGCCGGGAAAAAAAAAAAAGAACCATCTTTTTCCCAAAAAAGAAAAAATAATTAACTATTATTATTTAATTGTAATTATTATTACTGTATTATACAGTTGCTGTTGCTATTTAGTAGTAATAATTTTCCAAACTTTGACTGGGGCTGTCACTTTAATCGAGGGCTCCTCTTGGTTGAATTTCGAGGTACTTTTTCTCTTATAGCATTTCAATTGACAATCATGCCCCTACAACTTTTTGTTTTTGAAATTTTCTTATCCTTCCCAACAATTTTAGTTGTTTAAGACTTTAAGTAACCGAAATTATCCACGGTTATTGACAAAGAAATCATTTTAAATTGTCATACTCATGATAATAGTTAGTATGTTATTTAAATTGAACTACCGCTTGACTGACATCCGATTTGATGAGATTTTAGCTGAGTCATGAGTGAAGTTAATATGAAACCAAAAAAAAAAAAAAACTCGAAAATCTAGCTTTGATCATAGTATTAAATTGGAAATTTGATAATTTATTTTAGGGAAGTGTATAAAAAATTTGTTTGAAGGGGCAAAAATGTCTTTGTGATGTGGTGTGTGGAGATAACAATAAAAGGGCATCTTTCTTAATTGAGAAATTTACTCATTGGGGGGGTTTTTGGTTGGTTTGAGTGTTTGACTACTGCTTCTTGTACTCCATTTCTATGAACTCTCTTTTTTCCTATTTCTCTCTCAAAAATCTGCTCGTCTTTACCTTTCCTCATTTTGTATTCATTTGACTTGTCTTTAGGGTTTCTTTGCTAACCAAAAAATCTAGCCATCAACAGATTTGGAAATTTCATTACTTGGGGTTGTTCAAGAAATCAGTAAAGTTTCAAACTTTAAGCTCAGAACAGTTCAAACTTCAATACAATTTGCTCGGGTGCAATTTTCTAAGGTTGGTTTTTTGCTTTTTTTCTTTTGTTCTTAGTTTCTGTGAATTGATAGTCCATTTTCAGAATTTGATATTGTGGATCCTTGTAGTTGCCAAAGATCTTTTTGTGGTTGTTTAGATTGGTTTATCATTATTTCTGCTTTTTGATAAAATAAAAAAATTCTATTGGATCATCCTATTCAATTTGAATGTTAAAATCTAAAAGTACAATTTTGGCCTTCTCTTTTTTGCAAATTTAGCAGCTCATATATTTTGTGACAGTACTCCTTCATAATTAATGATATATCACCTTTTGTTTTGTGGAAATTTGGATAAATTTTGGATTTATCTCTGTTTGTTCTCTTGCTCATTTGTCCTGTAGAACCTAGAAATTTAATTCTAACTAAATCTTTAATCCTGTACTGTTGAAGATTGGGCAATTTTTGTATATCCTACTTCAGACATAATAATCACTGTCCTAGGTGACATCAATGATACAATTCTATTTTGTATGTTACAAAATTTGTAATCCTATAGATTGATGATTTGTACCACATGAAGATTATTGAGTTTTTTAATATGTCAGAGTGGAAATCATAAGTTTCTTTATGCTACTGATTTGGCAGGAGGATATAAAACCTGAAATTGTAGACGCGAAAATGGGTTGTTTCACAGTTTTAAAAAGTAAGAAAAAGAAGTCTGAACAGAGTATCCACATCAAACGTGTGAATCCTCAGGAACATTCTCCTACTGTGTTGCCTGAGCCCCAAGTGCACACACGGGCATTGCAGTCGGCACCCCCAAGTTTTAGAACTAGAGTAAAACCTGTACAGTCGAGTAACAGAGTAACAAGCAGTAGGACACGGGCACTCTCTGCCCCATCGAGCCTGGATGCAGCAGAACAAGATACTCTAGCATCGAATGAATGTGAGGAACAAGAAGAGTTAAGGAGTCGTGTTGGTTCAATCAAGGAATACCAGTCACCAACTCCTCAGCCTCTTCCTCTTCCTTCACCACAGAGTGCTGCTACTCTCAAGACTATGGGAAGCTTTAAAGTTTTGAATGCTAGCGGCCCTTTGAATGCCTCTGGACCGCTGCCGTTGCCTCCTACACTGCCTCCAACCTTGCCTTCTACCGGAGCACTCAGGAACTTCTCGTTTGAAGAAATTGCTTCTGCCTGCCACCGGTTCTCTCCTGAACGATGTATGTCTGAAGGTCTCTCTTCTGTTATCTACAAAGCTTCTTTTGGCGATGATGCCACTAGTACAAAGAAGCTTGAAGCCACTGTAACCCGCCTTCATCCTTCTTCGCAGGTAATGTACAATTTGACTTATTGACTTTGAATTATCTTGTCTGTTCATCATCTTTTGTAATCCCCCTCTGTGTTTTTGTTTAGGGGGGGGGGGATCTTTCATCTGATTGCCATGTGATATGTAAGTTTGGGATGGCTCATATTTGGTTAGATTGGTGACTTTGGTTCTTCCATCATGTGAGGGCAAAAACTGTCTGATTCCATGGTTTAAATTTAGGATGCAATTTGGCAGGTATTGGCAATTCTTTATGGGGTCGTTTGGTTGGAATACGGCTTATGCCGGTATAAGTTATGCCGGTATAAGTTATGTTGGGACAAGTTATGCTGGGATTGTTGTTTATTCACTGTTTGGTATGTTGTATTAAGAATAACAATTGCATAATTTATAAGAAGAAGGTATAAGTTATACCGGTGCTAATTACCCCACCCTCTATAAGGTATAAGTTATTCCGGTATTAAAATTAACACCGGGATAACTTATACCTGGTTTGCTAACCAAACAGAGTGTTAATGTGGTATTAAATTTTTATACCACCCCTATACCTTCGTATACCTCATACCAAACGATCCCTATGAGTTTTGGAAGGCTTACTATCTTTTACTTTTTGGCTTTTCCAGGGGTTAAAGGAATTTGTAACTGAGGCCAACACACTAGCTTCTTTACAACATCCGTCACTTTGTAAACTGATTGGTTTTCATGCACGGGAAGGTTCCGACCACAGAATGTTGGTTTATGAGAGGCTTTTCCATGGAAGCTTAGACCGGCTTTTGTTTGGGAGGTCAGATGGTCCCCCGATGGACTGGAATGCTCGAACGAAAATTGCATTGTGTGCTGCTCAAGGTCTCACATTCCTGCATGAGGAAGGACCTTTCCAGGTGTCAATGCTGCTTCCTGAATCTGTAGTCTAATGAGAGTTACCTTTTATTTTCCATATGCAACCTTGTAATATACCGTGTCACCTCTGTATCTCTCTTACTAAGAATCTCCAGCTTTTGTTATTGGGCTTGGGCCTATGCTAGTCACATAGTTTGCTAAGTTTCTTATTTTCCGTAACAGGCAATGTTCCATGAATTTTCCACTGCAAATATACAAATAGATAAGGATTTTAGTGCAAAGCTTTCGGGATATGGATGCATTACACATATACAAGAGACAGACATATCTTGCAGTTCAACTGTAAGTTTCCTCTGTTAATAGTTGTAGAACATTTATTTCTCTGTTAAAAGGCCGGTCTTAGCTCCTAGGTTTGTATGGGGGGTTTTGTTTGTTCGCGAGAAAGGATTCCTCGTCAAGCAAGTTTGGGGGGTCAGCATGGACTTAGATCTGATGCCATAAACTAAGATGGAGGAAGAGAGAATTGCTTTTGTTCAAAGTTTTAGTCACATATAAAACTTTGTGCTGTGCACACTCCACATATTAGTCGAGTCATGTATAGTGGATGTGGCTTTTAATAGGAGTAACCACAAGGCCTGTGCATCATATGCCGTAAAGATTAATAATTTTTTTGCAAAAAAATCGTGTTTGTGCCTTCTGAAAAAAATAATCGTTTTGTATCACTCTCTCTTGTCTAATTGGCAATTTGACAGGTGTTTTGCTTGCAGTTGTTCACATTTTCCTGACTTGTTCAGAGATCCTAAAATTTTCTTGTTAATTCAGGCTCTGGGAAATCTCTCTGAAGAGACTCTGGAGCGAGGATTGTTAACCCCAAAGAGCAACGTTTGGAGTTTTGGGATTGTTCTTCTTGAGTTGCTGACTGGGCGGAAGAATTTAGACAGTCGGCATCCAAAGGAGGAGAGGAATTTAGTGAAGTGGAGCAGGCCTTTCCTAGCTGATGACGGTAGATTATCGCTAATCATGGATCCCCAGTTAAAAGGTCGGTTCCCTGCGAAAGCAGCAAGGACAGTGGCTGATATTGCTCAAAGATGT